TATATATATATTTTAAATAGTGCTCTCTGCATATCAAATTTAGATCCTAGCTGATCAAATGAGGCAAAAACTTCTTCTGTGGGTACACCCACCTTAAAGTCTCTGCTATTTGACGGTGTTTGTCTCATATTTGTATGCATTTTGAACACTGGATTAAATGAATTGACAATAAGCATGGGTTATTTAGGTGGTTACCCATTAGGTGGGTACAGATCCGTAAATTAGACAATACTCTTCTCATGCCAGACCAAGAGGGAGCCATTATGAAGCGAGGGGGGAAACTGATGATTTGCTACAATCTGGGCACAGAGCGAGCCAGCCCCCCAGCCAAAATATATATATTTCTATATACGTAGAGACTGACAGACTTGGTGGTGGAAGTGTGGTGCAAGATGGAGCACAGTTTAACAAACAAACACAAAACGAGTGGGCAGCTTTAGCCTGTCAATTTAATCTGCTTGCCTAAATTGCTGAGGTGGTTATCAGTCTTACGGTTGTCATGTCAACTGTTTTTTTACTTACTGCAGTTTGTGTTAAAACTCTCCTCTTTACATTAGACAGGATTAAAGCTAACTCCTTTCACAACATAATTGTCGCTATTGCAATTATGACAACATACTTTTGGTAATCCTGATCTTTAACATGATTCCTGAAACTTCCAGGTGTTTCTGGAGCCTCTCTCTCGTGTCTTGGGCCAGGCCAAGACAAAACAGGTCCTGATCACTGTGGCCCAGTCAGACCCGAGGCACATGAACTGTCTGCATCGGCTGGGGATCCTCCTGGGCATCACGGACTGGGTCAAAGACTACCAGAAAAAGCTGAAACCACCACAGAGCCAAAATTGCACCATGTACACAGCACCCGTTGAACAGGCCAAGGTCAGAATACAAGTCAGAAAAAAAATTGAAAAACAGTACTTGCATTGCTTTGAATGAGTCACAATAAGTCTCCAATTAACGTTAACTCCATGAGTAGATTAACGATTTGCCAAAACGAAACTTGGCTGAAGTCTGGTTTATAGGGCTATCCACTAAAGAAATGTTAGTGGACTAAGACCAAAATGAGCATTTAGTGGATTTATGGACTTATCGGAGGCAGCCCTACTGGCTTGTGTGCTCCCTTTAGCTGGTGTCTATAGTCAGCCAAAGACACCACAGTACAACGACAAGTGGAATGTTTTGGGGTTCCCACAACACAGAGTGATACGTTAAAACAATCTTGGCATTCTTCCAGTACAACTTTCATTCATGTCACACTAATAGTTTAAGCTTATCGGATGAATAGTTCTGAATCAAGACCTAAGAGTATTTGGAGAAAGTTACTTGTGAAAAGTCATGTGTGCCAAAGCCAATGGGCTACTGTCATTTCCATGTGCCAGATACTCAATCAACATTTCATATCCTCTGCCTCTTTAGTAAAACAAATGAGCTGAAGGTTGTGAACATTAATAAGGCCACCACCGCAAACTAGTTCTGTCCTCTGGCCCTACATATTTCAGCTCAGTCTTAAGAGCTGTTATTTATAACTTTAATTTGTGTTCAAAATGCCTGGCAGAGCTTGCCGAGTTTGTCAAAAAGCTCCTTGACGGCAGGGTGCCGGGGGCATATGAGATTTGCCCTGAGATGCCTCTTCAGTGTGGCATGGAGGTCAGGGACAATAGCCTGTGGAGTGGCAGACCGGGGTGGTGGTTCCCATTTTTAAAAGAAGGGCCAGAGAGTGTGCTCCAATTATTGGGATATCACACTGCTCAGACTCCCAGAGCAAGTTTATTCTAAGGTGCCGGAAAGGAGGCTCCGATCCAGGAGGATTCTGTGCTGGTTGTGGAATAGTGGAACAGCTCTTTGCTCTTGCAGTGGGAGTTTGCCCACCCATTCTACATAGAGTTAGAGAAGGCTTACGACCTGTGTGTGGGGGTTACTGCGGGAATGTGGAGTACGGGGCGGGTTGTAGCTACGAGCCATCCCATCCAAAGATAACCAAAGTGAGAGCTGGGTCCGTATACTCGGCTGTCTGGTTTGGGGACCTTAGATTCGTGTCTCTGCTCTTTTCAGATGATGTAGTTTAGTTAGCTCCTTCAGAACGTGACCTTCAGCACGCACTGGTGTGGCTTGCAGCTGAGTGTGAACCAGTCGGAATGAGAGTCAAGACCTCCAAGTGAGGCCATGGATCTCTGCCAGTAAAAAGCAGTGGATTGCGCCATCACTGCCCAAAGTAAGGGAGCTCAAGAATCTCGGGGTCTGGTTCACGAGTGAGGGTAAAATGTAGCGTACCGGACTGTTGTAAGGCCAAGCTAACTTACGAGACTATCTTCGTTCTGCCCCTCACCTATGGTCATGAGCTTTGGGTTGTGACCGAAAGAATGACATTGTGGATACAAGCGGACAAGATGACCTTCATTAGCAGAGTAGAGCTAGGGGTACGGGCATCTGATCAGGAGGCCTCCTAGACCCTGTCTTTGGAGGCTCTCAGGGCACATCCAACTGGTAAGAGGCCCCTGAGTAGACTCAGAACATGCTGGAGAGATGTTGTATATGGGGGACCCAGGAAGAGCTGGAAAATTTTGCTGGGGAGATGGACGTCTGGAATAGCTTGCTAAGCCTGCTGCCCCCAAGACTAGGCCGTGGATAAGCGGAAGATAATGGATGGTTTCTTCGAAAGCTGAACACTAAACCCAAATGGATTCAGTTTTAATAGGAAGATTTAATACTGAAATCAGATTCAGATTCTGTACTGGATTCAGATTGGAGACAAAGCCTAAGTGATTAAGGAAGCACTATGCATTCCTGTCCTTAGTCAGTAATCTTAAATCATCAGGGATTTAATAGTTTGATCTGCTTGTCCCTGCATCTTGTGTACACTGTATGTTTAATGAAAAACAAAACAAACAGATTTTTTTAATGTTATTGTCTTAGCTTCTAAACATTTTTTTTTGGACTTCAGTCTGATTTGATAGATTCTGAGAGCAGCAGTCTGTCAGCTCTGAATATGAGTGAAGAGGAGTATCTTGAGAATAACACAATGGACAACAGCTTTGCCTCCTCCCATCTCAACCAGAGCCTACAACAAGGTCAATTTTCATTTTAGACTGAATAAGGACCTTACTAGTTTTCCTTTGATATTTTAATTACTAAATGTTTTCTTCTAGTTAATGGTGAGCAAGACGTAGTAGTTGAGGAGGGAGAGGATGAAGAGGAGCTGTATGAGTTGTCTAACGGAGAGACATCAGACATCAGCAGTGAAGCTGAAGGAGGCCAGGACGAGGAGCTGTCAGAAATGTCTGATTCTACCAGCTGCCAATCCACATCAGATCTCCAAAGAGCCATAATTGAGGACATCAGGTTTGTTTTCATACCACCCTTTACAATGACCTACGCAATGTCCACTGAAGTTCTATGATTTAGTTTTGCTAAATATGGCACCTTCAAAGAATTGTTGATCTATACTTTCTTCTTCTGTCCCTTATTTGTTTCCTGACAGGAAGAGTGAGTTTGGTATTGGTGTGGAATTGACCGCTGAAGGCCAGATGTTGATGCAGGTCCATCAGGACAGGCTGGGCCGCAGCTTAGACCGCCTCTCTACGGAACTCTACAGCAAAGACACACACTTTGTCCTGGAACTCATTCAGGTGAATCCTCTAATATTTACACCCATAAAGATGACTAAATCTTTATGCCTCTATGACCATTGGTGGCTGTGGGTAGAGCGTGTTGTCCATTGACAACACGGTTAGTGGTTCAAACATCGGCTCTTACTGTCTGCATGCAAGTGTCCTTAAGCAAGACACTAACCCCAAGTTGCACTTTACTGTACCTAATGATCCTAAAGGCTTAGGTTGGACAAATTACAAATTTGCTTCAGAGGGAATTACACTTTAAGTTTTGTTCTTAAAACACTTAATAGACTGCAAACCATTTTATTAACCGCAGGAGTTTTCCTCATTCATTCTGGTCGGTGTTTAGATAGATATAAACTTTATTCATCCCCAGGGGGAAATTAGTTTGTAGCAGCAGTGATTTACAGAGTAAAATAAAAAATATTACGTATGGAAATGCACAATTTATACAGTACAATAAAATAACAGAAGATATTGACTCTGTGCATAAACTTGACAATTACATTAAGTCTTTGACTCTTAAGAAATGCTTGTAATTATATTTCAGTATACCATAGTAACATCGGACAAAAAGATCTAAAAACACTGAAGCAGCAAACTTTGTGAAAACCAATACTTGTCATTCAACACTTTTGGACCACGGGTATACTCGCCAACTTGCCAATACATGATTCAGCATTTTATTGAAGGCATTGCCGATACTGCCATCGATATTGGAACAACACTCTGGTTTATAGCTTTGTTTAAAAGGCCAATTCACAGTTTCTGTACGTAATCTGTGTCGAATAATAGCACGGGGTTAGAAAAGAGGATGGTTGGTTGCATGCAAGACCTTGTGTCTATCTGAGGTCACAACAATAAAGCTCAGTGAATAGCATTAAACCAAATCAACACTTATACTGGGCAAAGGTTAACTAGTGCTGTGCTTAGCCGTGTCCTGTTATGCTAAGCTAAGGCCGTGCTATGCTAGGCCCAGTTCCATGACATTAGGTTCATGGATGAAGAGGTCGGTTGTGGAAGAGCCAGGCTCGGAAAAGTTGTGGTTCTTGTGTCAAATGATGTATTTTCTGTGGAGAAAACATGAAAGAACCTGCGGAAGTGTATTAAATGGCTCTGTAGCCATTTTGTGTGGGCTCCGGGCCTAAAAATATGTTTTACTTACTGATTAAAGAATCAAGTTTTTGGAACGTTTTCATCCTTTATATTATGATCAGGTGTGATTCAATTCAATTTATTTTGTATTGCCCAAAATCACAAATTTGCCTCAGAGGGCTTTACAATCTGTAAACATACAACATCCTCTGTCCCAGGACCCTCACATTGGTACAGGAAAACTCCCCCCAAAAAACCTTTAACGGGGAGAAAAAAAAAAATTCAAATTCTGTAAAAGTAAAAAGACACAGATTTTTATTTACTCTGAAGATGGCTCCCAAGAGTTTCATGTCTCATAGTTTAATTTGAAATATGTCTAATTCTGACCTTTTAACCTCTTTGTTTCCCTTTTTCAGAACGCTGACGACAACAGTTACCCATCAGAGGTTGGTGTCGTTCCAGCACTGGCCTTTGTGGTGGAGAGAGACAGCATCACTGTTCTCAACAATGAGACGGGCTTCCAGGAGAAGAACATCAGGGCCATCTGTGATGTGGGTTGCAGCACCAAGGGCAAACACAAATATGGCTACATAGGTAAGTATGTACATGATGCCTTCTAGGAGATTAGAAAATCTAAATCAAGGCTGAATGAAGGACGTCCCGTTGTCCCTGGGACGAAAAAAAAATAGGAACGTGGGACAAATTTGGGATGAGAATTAAAAGAAAAATACCTAGCTAACGTTGCAATGGTAACATTAGCTAGGTAACGTCAGAATGTTTGATGTTAACGTTACAGGTAACTCTAGCTAACCAGTCAGCAGCTGACATTTACAGTGAGTGAGCTGACAATAACGTTTCGTTAACTATGAGTATTCAAAACAGTTCAAATCATGTTAACTACTTACTTTGTTACACTCTCCTTCCAATCTGCTGCAATGAGATCTCTGTATGGCAGTTTGTCCTCTGCAACATGTCTGCCTCTCCCCATGACACATTCATCTTGTCCAGCAGCTCCTCAACTTAGCTTAAAGATGCTCTAGCTAGCAGGGTTTTAGTGGGTCCTATGCAAAATCATTTTTACTCATAAAAAAATAATTGAAATTAGCTGCATTAACATCAAAATGCAAATTATAAATAAACCAAAAAAAAATTTTAAATATAAAAAACTGTTTTTAATAAATTATAAATGTATGCACAATAATAAACAATTTTTGAAGTTTTATGTATGTTTAAGGTCACTTTGAATGATTTTAACTAATGAGTGTAGCAAAACAAAGATATTAAAATTGTGACGTTCCACACTAATTTGGGGACAGTTTAGGTTGTGTTTCATAAAGGTTTTGAAAAAAGGATTGTGAAAAAATGTATTCGAGAGCCCTAATCTGATTTAGATTAGCTCCATATAAGCCTCTCTTTCACTGTGCAATTTTGTCTGCCACCGAATACGATTTCTCGGGAAAGTGAAGGCTCCATTTAAATCACAAAGGAAGTGCGTCAGCTATTGCGCAATCAAACGGATAGCGCCTTTGTTTTCACCATCCCGGTCTGTCAGCGACGGGGGGCACTCCGGTGTGGAAAACAAAGGATTTCAGAATCTGGTTAAAGTGCTTGAGCAACGCTACGAAATCCCCTCACTTCAGTGTGAAGATCGTTCCTCTATGAAAAGGAAAAGACTGCTCACTTCATCACGATGGAGTGGGAGATTCATGGTGCAGGTACTGACAGAAGCAGTAGAGTGGAAGCTAGACAGGCCCAATAGTAATATCCCATTCACCACAGAAAGTTCTACCCTCTCCCCAGACAATGGAGATATTCTCATCTTTTTTTAAAACAAATGTAAAGTTGTAGACTTTCACAGTAATGGTAAACATTATTGCAGTGTATTTGAATGACAACCTGCCAGGAAGTAAACATAGACCCAAGCAGCAGAGTGAAGCTAGACAGGCCCAATAGCAACATCCCATATCAACATACCTCATGTTGCACTTAAACTTAACAGAATTGAGTATTCTTGAATGTTTCATTTATTTATTTCAAATTGGACATCTTCAATATTTGTTTTTAATGCAAGACTATAGCCCAAAGTTCTTTGCTTTAAGTGTTCTTGAAGTTCTTTAATTAATGAGTGGAAAGCAAAATTATATTTGATTCCTCCCCTTTTCTTTGCTGATCCGAACCGTGATCTGAACCGAACCGTGAGGATTGTGATCCGTTGCACCCCTAATTTCAATATAATATATTTGTTGATTTTTCCCTGATGGTCTGAATAAGTTGCTAGTAGAAAGCTCTGAGAAAATACTGAACGCAATCTGGTTATCTTTGCGTCACTGACGGCAACAATAATACCACTTGGTAACACTAGTGGGGGAGTTGAAAAGTGATCTATTGCAACTTCAACGTGGTCTGTTAAAGGGAAAATATGCCACCTTTTATGAGGACTGGTGGAACAAAGACTTCCACCAGTCGGTATTTGCCCTCTGCCGCTCAGGTTCTGGAGGGTCCCCACCCCTCATATCCTACCCGCTGCAGCCTCAGGCAGCCTCTCTGGCTGAATACGGTTCAATATCCGAGTCAGCCAAAACCCTCTAAAAATCCTTGTCCATGCCATGAAAATGGGCAAATTTTCCAATTAATGATCCCGATTGCTCTACTCATCATAGGTCAAAAGGGCATTGGCTTCAAATCAGTGTTTAAAGTGACAGACTGTCCTGAGATCCACTCCAATGGTTTCCACTTGCGTTTCGACAAGACCTGCGGCCCCATGGGATACATCCTCCCCCACTGGAACGAAGATGAGAGGCCTCTGGACATGCAGCTGAAGGAAATACATCAGCAGAGGTTGGGTGATAAAGAAACAGTAGGCAGTAGTATTAGACATTTTGATTGGTCACAGTAGGACAAGCATGCGTTTCTAATAAATGATTGATGACTGTTGTATAGACCTAATCACAATGTTTGTTTGCAATCACTTCCGGGTAAAAAAAACAAAAAAAAAACAAAAAAAAAAAAAAAAAACAACCTGCGCTCACACGTACAATAAAACGGCACTGTGCAAGCGGTGATGAGGAACAACAGATACTCTCAGCTGAAGGGACTCATCTAAAGTGCATGTGTGATGCTTTCATAGCTCATTGATAGCAACATTTACCTAACAGACTAAAGAAAATGACAGCTGGAGTTTACAAAAAACTAGCAGTTAGTCAGACCAGCGGTGAGATGTTGGGTCGATTTGGCTTATCAAAGACGCCAGCAAAGCAACGCGGTACATGAAGTAAGCACCTTGTTTAACTGATTATCTTTAAATGTTACAGCTATGCTGGAAATCACATAAACAACAGAAATGGACAAGTTAGACAATTTCACATACGCGCACACACACAAAAAAAAAAAGCCGCACACATGATTTTGAGATATACGTGATGCAGCTCAGCCAATCAAATATGGGTATTCTGATAAGTTTCCTGATTTGAGTGACATTTACACACACACACACACACACACACACACACACACACACACACACACACCGCGACACAAGAGGGAGAGACGAGGAAAGACATGGCAGAGCAGGACAATAGTTATGTAAGCTGTAAAAGATAAAACATAGGACAATCTCCAAATGAGAAAGATTGCCAGAGACATCAGAATCTGTCTGTCTGTCCACACATGATATTCAAGGAAAGATCATTAGACCTCCTGTCTGCCTCTCTCACTCCATCATACAGTCATTCAGGTCTTAGATATTTTTAGAGGACTTTCCCCTCTCACCCCCATTTCAAATTAAAAGCCCCACAGAATGAATTCTAACTGGAATGCTTGTGATGAAGCCTCTCATTTTAGTGTCAAACATGATTCTGTCTCCTCTCCCCCTCTCTCACCCACCCAGTCCCACCCTTTCAAAATAAAAGCCCCACAAATACAAGATTCAATCCAAGAGTATGAATCTAAAATGCAGAAAAGAGTAGCGCTATCTCAATTGAAGGACACTACCGGTAACATTGGCGTGTGTATATATTGCGATTTCGTCGGGCAGTAGAAGCCACACTGTCAATTTCTTTAGGAATTTTCTAGTTCATTTTATTATTTACTTCTGTGATTTTCCTACTGTGACATGTCAAAATGTCTTCTCTGAAATAGGGCTATTCAACTCAAACACTTTAATATTGTTCAATTGTGAGTTCATATACATAAAGATGCAATCCATATTCCAAATCTATCCAACTCTTACTGTTTAATTCTGGTTGTAAATGTACCTCAAATATTAAGTACATTGCCAAGTAAATTGATTGGCTTTTTAATAAAACATTCTTAGCATTAATATGCTAAGAATTTAAGTCAACAGAAAAATTTTAGAAATATTTAGCAGATGTTATATTACATAAACATTTGAAACCGTGTCTCTTCCATCACAGCAAAATGAATGCATTCTATTGGAGCGTTTACATTTATCTTTCAGCGTCTGATGGAATACATAATTAAATACATTTGTCATAAAGAAGAGTGACATCACCTTATAAAGCTGATGTGTAATTCGGTAAGGAGTTGCCTAATTATCAGACATGAAGCAGCATTCATTATTTGTCATGTTTCTGTAGTGACTGTAAGTACAATATTCACTTTTGTTTTAGGTCTGTTTTGGCTCCACTCGCCACCAATTTCTGATCTGTTTAGCTGCTAAATGCTCCGCTATGTTCACAAGCTAGTCGCCAACTCTGTCTCATTGTCACTTGGTGCTGTGCAGGTAGAGTATAGTGGGTTTAAAGCTTTTTGGCTGTAAACTGGTTGTTGAGAGGAGAGAGTGAATCAAAACTGTTAAGCTGTGGGCCATTAAACCAAAACAATGAGCTGAAAAATACTAAAATGCACTCCTTTTTGTTTGGTATTGATTGGTGCTGCTTTAAAATCATAATAGTATAGTATATTACTAGCTGAGGTCACATATGCCAATATGCAGAATACTAACTTTATTCACCAAGAGTCACCTTCAGCTGGGCAGCTAAAATGACCAGCGATCCCTCCCACTCAGCCCACCACCTCTTTCGATCCTCCCCTCTGAAAAGCGCTACAGGTCCATTTTGACCACTACCACTCGGTTCAAAGACAGCAGTCCGAACACTTAATTCAAACTACTGGTTTTCTAAATACCTCTGTTCTCTTTACAGCTGGACCACTAAGATCTGCCTTCCTCTGCGCTCGGAGAGCCATCAGACCAGAAACCTGTTTCATGACGTGCACCCCTCCCTGCTGCTCTTCCTGCACCGCCTGCGCTCCATCTCCATCTACAATCAGGTAGGTCTTGCACTTCTACATTTGCTCACATTCATGCAAACATGCATAGTTTACATCATTGATTTAATCATAATACAAGCCATGAAAACTCACCTGTTCTCCATACCTCCACTACCTGCTGCGTCTGTCTCCCTGCAGAGTGAGAAGCGTCTTGTGACCATGACTCGAAAAGACCTGAGTCACAATGTGTTAGAGGTGGAGCACACAGAGGGCATCGAGCGCTGGCTCGTAGTCAAAACTACGGTGCAGCCCAAGAAGGTAATGCAGACACACCAACATTCAAATCTCATTCTGTTGCTTCATTTTCAGGCAAATGAATCATATCTGGATTTCAGAACAAGAAGTTGACGTCTGTTCCATCCTTCTGGCGGAATAAATAAAATTCACTAAAGCTTTCCCTTCAGAACTGTTCCTCGTTCTGCTCCGTCGAAGTCTTTCCCTCTGCATCTTGCCAAATGTCGTGAGAACTCAATTAGGCAGACTTTTTGTTCCCCCCATCAAACAGAAATATATGACAAAAAAAAAAAAAAAAAAAAAAAATCCAGACAGCACATCAACACCACCAAACAGATTTAAATGTTGTCAGTCTGAAATTACACTATAGTCTGTACTACTCTTTCTTCCTCCATTTCCCAGAGGCAGCTACCCCCTTACATGCAGTCAGGTTCTAAAAGAGAAGAAATAGACACCGTTTGCCAGCAGCCATTTAACCAGCACCAATATCCATTTCTGTAAAAAGTCAGCTTGTTGTAAGCTGTTGCATATAATTTGACATTGATCTGTTTCTCCTTCAGATCAAAGGGGATGTTGAGTCCACCGAGCTTGCCCTGGCATTCCAGCTCGACGACGTCACAGAAAGCGACATTGTCTGCCAGCCACAGAAACAACCTGTGTTTGCTTACCTTCCCCTTCGCAGTTTTGGCTTCCGTTTCATCATCCAAGGTTAGAATGGATTTTAGAATTATCGAACTATCCCAACATGGACCCAGTTGGTGTAATGAAGCATACTCTTCTTCTTCAGGTGACTTCGACATCCCTTCCTCTCGTGAAGATGTTGACAGAGACAGCTCATGGAACCAGTGGCTTCGATCCGAGATAGCACAACTCTTCCTCCAGGCCATGGATGTCTTCACTGTAAGACTCTTTTGTATCAGCAGAGCCGTCTGAAAACTGTTACTAAAGGAAATGTTACTCTAGTGATCCCTGCTAGGAAACCGGCTCATTGGCCAATACAAAAAGAATGCAGTATAGAAGCAAACAGGTGGTATAAAGCTTTCAACTGGGACAAAGCGAGGAAGTAGAATGTATTACTGAAAGTACAACATATGGATAAAAATTCAAAAACATTGTGAAGGGTGGAAATTAGCTGGGATGTAATTCCAGTGGCTGTTTTTTCAAGTGATTAAATTATCATTGATGGAGCCCAACACAAATTAAAATGTTGAGGGATTATGCACCTTTACACCACTAAAACTACTAAAGGCCCTGAAAACCTGGTTTCAGATATTAAGCTTTTCTCTGCAACATTGAATATTCATGACTGAATAAGCAACGATCAAAGTAAAAAATGTAAAGAAAAAAAACACGTTTAGATAATATCTATTAACAGTTTATTACACAAAAATAAATAAACATCAGGATTGCTTGGACGTTTTTGGCCACTATTTGAGAATATGGGGAAGTCTAATATGTCTAAAACATACTACAGTGATAACACTAATATCACTGATTAGTCCTTGGCTATTGTCTGTCTTTAGACCAGTGTCCTGTTCTCTCCTTATTCCAGGATCACCCAGAGTTCAAGGGGCTGAAGGGCCTCTGCAAGTTTCTGCCATTTGTCCCCCTGCCTGACGAGGTGTTGGACTTCTTCAAGCCTGTTGCCGGGCAGATTATTCAGATGCTCAAGGGCAAGGCGTTCCTGCCTACACTCAGCTCAGGTATTACTCACACATGCAGGTTTTGAAATTTTAAAATCACAAACGAAAACAAAATAAACAAAAATCTTTCTAGTCTACCGGTGCTGTGAGCTCAGCTTTGGTATACCAGCAATACAGAGCATTGAATCTAACCCTGTAAATGTTCCTCTCCATGCTTTCTCTACCAGATGGTAAGGTTGTGTACAAGCTGCCTTCCCAAGTGGCCATCTGTCAGGACGCTGTGATCCGCGACGTGATTGGCAGCGACGAGCTAGAAAAGCATCTGTCTCTGTCTTATCTCCATCCGGGTTTCAGCCCTGCCCCACCCACCTCCCTGCTCATCCACCTAGGAGTTCGATACTTGCGGGGATTTGATGTTACCACGGTGACCACAGCCATGGCCAAGGAGCTGGTGGAAGGCATCCTTTCAGGTGTGTGTGGATGGGAAGAAGAAGGAGAGGGGGAAATCTGATGTAAAGTCCAACCATGTCACTTTAAATTGTGGCAGAGCACAATGTATTATTCATTACGGCTGACAGAATAATAGACATTTTATTCCAAGCACAATAACACAAGAGACAATCAACGATAGAAACTTTACATTCCTATATATCTATGATAGTGTCAGGTGTTTTAAGATGTGGGGAGATTTAAATCCTTTGCTGTAAACCATCCCCTATTAAACACATGTTATGACACCTATGCAATATGTGAAAACAAAGTATGGCCGCGTTCAATTATTTGTTAATAATGCACTGCTGTAATTGGCTTCATTATTGACCTAGTTGGTATAGCGGGGTCTGATTAAAGCATCATGGTGGGATAATTGTATAACTGTAGTTCAACCCCCTCTTGGTTCTACTTATAATTGTTCAAATTAATTATAAGTCATTCTTTTAAAAAAAAAAGCTCAAATTAACATGCTCATATTGGTGTGCTCATTGGGTACACGTGCCTATGTAATCCGTGTGTAATCTGAAAATTTAACTAATTTCCATGCAATTTCAAACTCAGTAAATTTTTGACACCAACCCACTGTCTTCTAGATGACAGCCTGCGTCAGCTGGCCAAGCTGCTGGTTTGCAACTTCCGAGCTCTGGAGCATGGCTACGGAGAGGCGGACTCCATCTTGCAAACCCTTCGAGATCTACCCATAATCCCACTGGCTGACGGACGTGTCGTGGCACTAAACGGGGAAGGAGTGTTCTTTCCAATGGAGGAAACCAAGACCAACAAAAAGAAAGCTCAAGCTCAGAAAGGTAATTTCACGTCAGTGTAGACTCTACTGCAATTATAATGACTGATGCTTGGTGTTTTCATTGCAAACTGAGTCTTTGTTTGAGCGTCTCCAACTGACAAGGGCAAGCAGTTGCCTCCCAAATAATTATTATAATTATTTCTAAATTGAGTAAGATATATAAGCTGTATATTTTTGAATGACATGATGGTAATTCTGCTGTCTGGTTCCCAGTACTTTTTTCTTCATGACAACATTTACACAGTCTGCCTAAGGTAAAGGTGACAGTGTGAGTACACTTGTAAATACTTTACATTTGAAGGTTTTTCTTTGCCCATCTTGGGACATACGTTTTCTCATCAAATTAATTGCTGAGATCTCCGAACACTGCAGGACAGTATGGAGGACACAGATAATAGTGGCAGTGCAGCAATGGGCAGTCAGTTCTGCAGGTTTTCAGGATCTTAAACCTCAAGAACCACAAAGCAACAGAAAACATAGCTCAGTCCAGAGCTCTATCACAAACCTACACAAACTAAACTATTTCAGTCAGGCCGCTAGCCGACTTACCGGTCTTAGTTCTCTCCCCCGCTGGCGATCTTAGGGAGGGGCGACCCTACTCCTCCTGCAGCATGTTCTCCCCTGAACAGCTTGCCTGCTTCACATTTCTTCATCTCCCTGATGAGGAGATGAGCTCCAGGTGTGTCTTTCCCCACACCTGATCCCAATGCTCTCCTGAGGGAGTGGGTGGAGCCTGGAACCTGGACCTCTGCTCCTTACAATATTTATTCCAAAGAATCTGCTAAGAAGAAATAAAAAAAAAAATGCATGAAATTCAGAATGAATTGTACATTTCCCACATTCAGGTCAAAATGAGACTAGACATCAGTACTAAAAATGTTTTCAACAAAATAGTAAAACAGCCTTCTTCTGCTTCTCTTAACTTGTGCCTATAAAGGGGATATAAATTATGAACTGGACTGGAATAACTGAAACAATATTTCGTATCACAAGGCTTGGAAACTTAACATTGAAACCCATTGACCCATTGTCAATTGGGTTATATACAATCCAATACTATTCAGTACAACTGCACTGTAACAAAAATTGCCATTAGAAAGTTAAAAATGTCACTCTGGCAGGGAAGTGATAGTATTTAGCTTTCCTCTCATTCATTGTCTTTTCATAGGCCCTCTGTCTGCATTGTACAAGGATGTAAATGTAGTTCAGCCCTCTCTGCTGAGCTGTGTGGATCCTCTGGAAAGTCAACAGATTCGGGAGCTGCTGAGAAGACTGGGAGTTCATGAACTGGAGCCTCAAGACCTACTGGAGCAGCACATCTACCCGTCAATACAGAACAACAAGTGGAAGGTACCAAACTGGATCTACTGTCACAAATATGATTTAATGCTCATTTTACAAAAACAAGTCTTATGCTTTACAAAAGTATTGCTCATCATATTTGGCATAAATATCTCTCTCTCTCTTTCGTCTCCCCCTGTTTCCTTCCTATCTTCCTCACTAATTCCACCACCAGTTAAAGCCTGAGGCAGTGGTGGTGAGTTACTTGGTTTTCATCAAGCTGCATTCCTCCTCCAGCCAGGAGTACTCCAACACTGCAGTACCCGTCCTCACCAGTAGGGGTCTACTGTGCCCGGCTAATGAAAGGGTGCACTTCTCTGAAGAGTACAGCAACATCAACCTGCCGGAGAAGCTACCTGGTAAGTAGAAACCCACAGTTCTTACTGACAGATATGCACACGCATATTGTTTGTACACGTGTTTGTAAAAAGGTTGAGGGAACTGAACATGAACCTTGTGCTCCTCCAGCCATCGTTCTGTGTCCATGTTGACCCCATGAAGCTAGAGAAAATATCCAAAACAATCACCAGTGCTGTGCGGTATGACCAAAAATGTGTATCATGGTATTTTTTAAGATTCTGGCGGTTTCAAGGTATATCACGGTATATCTTTTTTTCCTTGACTGTGTTTTTATATAGGTTTATAGTGGCTTACTCTACTGTCAGAAGTACATAGAATATAAAAACATTTGAATGTCATCATGTATAAAGGCTTTGCTTAATATAGGGTTTGTTCGTATAAAGTTGGGATAGCAGTTTGGCTGAAGTATTGTCGCCCCGGTAAGACATACCTTGAATCCAGTGTTTTAATCATTGCTCTGAGTCTTTCTCGACCATGTCTTTGCATAGCTGGATCATTATTGTGTTCGTAATGTTGCTCCACCGCTTGCTTTTCTTGTCATATGCAGTGCTTCAAGCAAATGCCTCTTCAAGCGATGTGTGACCCTTTGGCTTCACTGTTTCACTCGCGCTAACGTTACCGGTTGACACCCGAAATCACACTCTTGGTATTCCAACTCATGTTTTCTGCTGAGGTGATGGAGAAAGTTGCTTGTGTTACCAGTACCACCATCGTCAACAACAGTGGCTCGACACACTGCAATATATAGTCTTTTGGACGTTGGACTTTTTAAAACCAAAACACTTCCAAACAGCAGACCCAGCCCTCTCTTGGGCACAGACTATATCGGTGCATCTCCGGTCTGTCTTTGTTCATCCTGCATCTCTCTTTTATGTTCATTAATGTAACTTTACTGTAGTGACGGAGCCTCTCCCAGCTGTTAGCAGACTGTTGTGCTAGCTGGCTAGCTAGCGAGCTGTACCCAGCATGCCGTTCAGTGGTGTAATTTTATAAATGTACAATTATTAGTGTTACAAATTGTTTATATGTCACAAACTGTTGTGTCGTGGTGTTTTGCCATGTTAAAGAGCATTAGTTGTGGGTTATTAATTGTTGTGTTATAAAGTTATAACCATGATTAGAGGTCCCTCTTAAGACAACTAGCTCCGATCGCAGCGCCCTTAGCGGCGAACAATATATTCTGCTGCCTGTTGAAGAGTGACAGCAGTTGTTTCGGCTATGCACCGGTATGGCGGTCTGTGAAAAATTGATATCATACGGTTAAATTAAAACCGGTGTGGTGTACCGCCCAGCACTACACCAGCCCTTCTCTTCTGGGGAAATTTGGACATTTTTGTGTGTGTGTGTGTGTGTGTGTCCATTTAAACACAAGTGGGAGCACTTTCAGCCTATCGTATTGCTAAATTATTGAGCAGACTTGCCATTGTGCTCTAGTAGCTGTGTAATTGTTAACTAGGGACATCCTGATAATGTTTTTGTTCCCCTGGTCAAGATCTGAAGCCAATAACACAATTGTGCATTGCACAGGTAAAGCACAATAAATATAATGACATCAATCCGATTTTGAAAAGTGATGACAGCCCTGCATTACACAAATAGTCATCTTCACAGATTTCTGTTATTGATTTTAAACTTCTAAAATAAACAAACTATAAAACATGCCATAAATAGCCCTTACATATACACAACTCTGCTCCGTTTTATATATAAGAATAAGAACATTATGTTTGAATCTTCTTTCTTAAAATCGTTTTAACTATTGAATATCTATTTTTGAGCATTCTGTCCATGACACCGTATCCTGACACAGCACTGCACAGCACGCCGTTTTGAGCTGGGCTTTTGTCGGACACCCTGTTTCTATTTATTCCTAAAGATAGCAAGTACTACTCCCCCATCTTTAAATGATTCCGTCTCCAGTCTCATTGTTTACATAACGGAACACAACCCTTGCTGTTAGGACACGGTGCCTTTCTCTCGAAAGCCAAGTTCTCTGACATCATTACGGTTGTTGTTAAATTATTCCTCGCTTGTTCATACATTACGTTGCATCTCATTTTCAATCAATGAAAGCGACGTTCGTGACTCCATCATGCACTAAATGCAGTGTATTCAGTGCATTGAGTACACGCGAGGAAGCCAGGGTAGTGCTGCTTTTTTTCATAATCCGATATTCACTTCCGTATTTTTATATTTTTTAAATATTCTATTAAATATATATTTGAATTGACAATAATCGTTGACAGCCCTACTGTATATGCTTGAACACACCCAATGCTCCACTTAAAACTTCATATTTAGTCTTTTAAAAGATGTCTACTTTCATTTTCCATCTTGTGTAAACAAACAGCAGACATTTTAGGTGCTTGTTGATAACATATAGTGTATGACTGCTGATCTAGGATTTTACCTTTTGGTCGTAACGCAGTGCAGCAAATTAAACTAATTACACTAATCATTAACTGATATCAAAAAGTCAACATTGCACTGTAATCATCTCTGTTCTATCTCCATCTCCTCAGCCATGTTGATGTGTCTGATACAATATTTCTTTATTGGTCCTCCTGTAAACACTTGTCCTGTCTACGTCTTCTACCACCAGGCTGTGATTGGGTCTTGCTAAGTCCGTGCTATGTGCAGACAGATGGCGATGTAGCAGGATGGAAAGCGCTGTTCAGCAGCCTGGGAGTCAGAGACGGTCTCATCATCCGCAAAGAGAGACAAACACTCACTGCTCAAGAACTGGTGAGGAGGACATCCCTGAACTGTTACCTCAGCTATTTAGGAATCACACTCCACTCATGCTGCAAAAAAAGCAAATAAGATAAGATAAGATATTCTTGATTGTCCCACAGGAAAATTTGTCTTGGGCTCCAAGCCGCTGCATCACACAATACACTTACCACAATCCACATGCACGCAAGAACATAGATCATACATACACTCATGCATAAACATGCTTGAGTACATATGTCAACAATAGTTAAGAATTATTAAATACCATATTACCAGGTGTGATCAACACCTGGTAATGATCCAGTGTGTGATCCAGGTGTGATCAACACAGATGATAAGTATTCAAGTCACAATATATTATTCCCAATAAAATCATATCATGTAATATGTAATACTAGTTTTTGCTATTTAATAATTTGATGGAGGATGAAATGAATGTATTTTTGTACTGATTCAGCCTGCAGATTGGCATTCTGAACCGTCTGCCTGATGGCAGCTGGGAATTCTGGGTTCAGAATATGTGTTTTCAACATATGTGCTCCCTGAGCACAGATTTTTCATACAAGGGCTGCAATTACACTTACACAAAAAGACCAGAGCGAGGTCGTGACAGCCCCACCAGTGAGCCCTCATGATGAAGGGCTATGGATGTGTTGTGTAAGGACACAATATTTACTGGTTGCATAGACACTAGAGGCCGAACACAATCTTCCTGAAGCATGTTGCATTAAAAACAAACTGACACCCATGATGAGGAATACGGGAGTGATTAAAGGATGAAGATAGCAACCATTGTGAGTCACACTAGGACTAGAGAGACAATAGCTGCTTTGAGGATCAGCAGAAAAAGCAGGTGACAGATGGGACCCATCAAATATTCCTGATGCCAGATTTAGCCTGGGCTTCAACAAGCAGGGATAGTATGTTGATATGTCACGATCACGCCTTCATGTTATATGGGAAAGATTGTACTGACATTATTCCGGTATCAGATGCAGATACTTGAGAATTATCTGTAATAATTCATATTAATTGCAAATTAACCAAATCGACTCTCGTCCTTCTTCTCCCCCAGGCCTCCAGTCCCTGGTCAGTGGAAACTGCAATGTGGAACCAAAATCCTGGAGGGGGCTTTGTGCTAGATGACTACCCCTGTGAGGAGTTCCATGCCCTGGCCACAGCCCAGCTTCCTGGACACCTCCTCCTTCAGCAGAGGACGGCTTTGCTGGAGCTTCTGACAACAAACTGGGATACAGGGTAACACACACACACACACACACAGACGGACACACCCTCACTTACATATCTCTGCTCCCATGTCATGTTCTGTCGAGTGAAGATTGTCCTATTTGAGAAGCAGGTGCATTCACCTGCTTCCTAACATCCTGTTATGTTAGGAAGACCTTATGGCAGAGATAATGGCTGGGTTAATGGATTTGGGGATAGTCATGGTCAGCTAGTAATCCCTATCATTTCTACTGTGGCCAGTAAGTGATTACTGAGGTCAAGTGGGGGACATTGTGTGACGATTAAATGTTATTTTCTGCCTGAGAGAAAAGCAGTGAAACATGAGAGGTTTGTTTGGGTTTGACGTCCACAGAGAGATCAGTCTGGGCATTAATATATCTGAGTTTAGTTGTCCGTAGCTCTGCCCCGTGTGCTGAGTTTTGTGTTGTAGATGTGTGTGGGTAGAAGACAGTTGTCCAGGTAAGGAGGTCAGCAGAGCTCACAAACTCACACAGTGAACACTACCAGAGCAGTATAGAAGTTAAAGGTTGAATAAGGTTGTGTGGGACCCTTCCCACCAGCCACTCTGTTATATCACAGTTGGATGAATACTCATCGCATCACACTGTTGCGTTTGCATAATTTATTAATTCTACTTAACACAAATGCAAACCATTTTCCAAAGCATGCCATCAAGTTTTCTACTACAGATATCCACATTATATTATTAGTTTATGAATGCAATCCTGATCAGCCACAGTGTTCTACAGTATAGTGGTGCCCCAAATGCACCGTACTGGCATATGATTCAAATCAGTTGACAGTTTCATCTGTCTCACCATGCCGCAATCACATAAGAGAATAACAAAGAAATAGCCATCATTTTCACATTATGGATTATTATCTCAAGCAAGATTTTCATATATTAAAAGGAATAGAAACCATTGGCGATTTGATGCACGTCTGGAAAGCAATGGAGCGCAAAACAATTAGCTCTACTGCTAAACTTGAAATATTATTGTAAAGTAAAGACACTTTTAGAACGCAAGAGTGCATTTATTCTGCAATAGAAAGGTTGAAAGTGAGGAAATATAGATCAATGATAATGTCATCAGCAATACAAAATTATGTTTTTGCTAAAAACCTTTTGACTAGATTAAGGCAGGAAGCAGGAAGGTAAAACTTTGTGGAAAAATAAGAGGCTTCTCCATTGTGGTGCTGAACAGAGACTTTGGTGTGACCCAGTTTGTGACTGTAGGAAAAATCAATCATTCGTAAATATCCCTCAACATGTGTTTTTTTTTCGTTTTGGAAGAAAAGCAATGACTTAAAGTAACATATGTAGGGCTCTGTAAGGAGAGAAATAATCTGTAACAACACTATAACTTAGAAACCTTTCTGAAATTTCTATGATCTTGCATTGTAACAAATAAAATCTATACATCCATCATTTGTATACCTACTCTTACTTACAGGGTAATACAGTAGACTGAAGTCAAGAAACACTGCACCAGGTTGCCTGTTAATCATAGGGCAAAAACAAAATCTTGTGTTTTCTTTAAACACAAGATTTACTCCACATGTGGAGTATATATTACACTATATTATTATATTATATATTACACTATGTTACACTGGTCAGTTTGACACAGGTAGATTTCTCTTCAGAGCGTAGATGAGAATTTCTCAGTGCATTTAACTCTGAGCATTAAGCATGTGCAGTGCTGCTGAGGGCTGTATATTGTGCAGAAGAATTCAGGTCACATAGTTCTGCTATTTTGTTGAGCACCAAGATCACTGAACTACAACTGAAGAGGATGTAATCCATGCATTGTAGTCATAGTGAAGTTACATGATCATATATTACATGTATCCTGTCAACCACATAACATTATTATTGTTTGCTCAGAGGCCTTTGAAAGTTGACCTAATCCAAACATTATTTATTATCACCTTTCCCATTCTTCCAGACACCGCTACTCTCAGTACCTCACAGCTCAGGTGATTGACAGTGATGGACAACCAATCAAAAGCACCAAGTCCTCCTTCAGCCACTTCTTGAGTTGTCTTGAATGGGTGCCGGTCTATCGCCCACTGGAAGGAAAACAGCGAGAGAGAAAGTACCTCCGTCCAAACTCGGTCTACCTGACCTCACCTGAGGTCACCAGCCTCCTGGGGACTCATGTCTGTTATGTGGACATAGACCCCAGCGAGTTTAGCAAAGCTCTAGGTAAAATGTGTATGCTATGGTGTAGATCTCTGGTGTCCACAGCTCGTGTTTTGTTATCCTTTAATGACCCTAAAACAGACAACCTGTGAGTCACTGCCTTTTTCCTCTTTTAGGAATGAGAGAAAGTATCTCAGTGAATGCTCTGATAGACTACCTGAAGGAGTGGTGTGTCAAACCACAAGCAGATGACCAGGAGCAGAGACTACCCGAGGATGAGTTAGAGGGGGCCAATTTCACTTCCACAGTTGAGCACATCCACAACGTCTACACCTATCTTGATATGAACTGTCCCCAGAGCAGTCTGAGGGAGCTGTTCCATCATACCCCTGCTGTATTCATAGAGTACAACAGGTAGGTCCTCAGCTGTATCAGCATACCTTTTCTGGTTAATGTCTACATTTTTTCACAAATCAATTTTTTACCCCAGGCGAGATGAGTGGTGTTCAGGACGATTCTACCACCTGAAGGAGGTGTGCTGGAGTGACCCGATGGCAGTGTTCCAACGCTACAGACAGCTGACTCAGGCACCAGACAGCCCTGTCCAGCAGCCCATAGTTCTGTTTCCCTTCTACAACCCGCTGGATGGCATGAAAGCCTTCTTCACCAGAGTAAACTATATGATAATATACTGTTATTTCCCTACACGTAGAAAGTTTCTTGACATGTTGTTTCATAGCCTGTTACGCAGAGAAACATATTTGAAATGTTAAACTATATAATATTTAATATTATAGATATAATTACATTGTATAGGCACTCTTTCTCTCTCTGTCTCTTTCTCTCTTTCTCTCTCTCTCTGTCTCTCTCTCTCTTATGTAATAATTTCCAAAATTCACAACATGTTTTTATCTAACAAAATATTCCACTTTAATCCAAATTTGTTGAAAAACAACATTTTCACTGCAGTGAAAAAGCTGCCTGCTGTCCCGCACACATCTGTATCAATGGGGGTCATTCAGAAACCTCCATCTGCATGTTGTGTAGCAACATACGCCTCCTGAAAAAGGGTCCTGGGACAGAAGATGTTGTATGTTGTACCGATTGTAAAGCCCTCTGAGGCAAATTTGTGATATTGAGCTATACAAATCAATTGAATCACATTTGAATTGCATAAATCTGAACCCAGAATGCTGTCAAATTATTTGCGGTAAAATGTTTACTTGACAAATTCCGGACATGGTAGATTAAGATCACAGACAACCTCGGCAGTTATTACAAATGACTAGATATTCATTCGTTTAACCCCACAAACTAGTGTAGTTAGTTATGGATGTGCTCCTTGGTTACTTCTAATAATGTAGTGTTGAGGACATAGTATCTTGTCTGTCACCTGTTATTAGTCTTACTATGAAAGCTCTTATGCTGTTGTACTTAACTGACACCATAGACTACACCATAACTAATGTAAACTATGAATGCATCTGTGATTACATATCTTGTGTGTAGCTGCTGAATGTGGATCTCAGACCCAATATGAAGCAGTATGTCGGCTTGTTGGAAGTGATCTGTTCATCATCTCCCTTACCAACTGCTGAAGTGCTACAGGATGTGTCGGTGCTCTATGCCGTACTCGGTAAGGACATTTAGCTTTACAGTCTTTAGCTTCATCGAGTGTCTCGCATTCAGTGACGCACACATTTCCGTGTTCTGGATGTCCCATCTGTTTGCACCTCATTAACTCTCTGCTCAACAACTGTCATGTTTCCTTCTTGACAAGCTTGATTTGTTACATCTTCCCTCTGACTTGAGGTGCTATGCTATGCTATGTTATGTTATTCTATGCGATGCTATTCTATTGCATATTACAGCATACATTTCTGTTTTCAACAGCTCAAAAGTGTAAAACTAAAGTATCTGGTGACCAGGAAAACATCCCTCACGCCAAGCTCAATTCCAGCTACTGTTCCACCTTGAAGGGTAAGTAATGCATATACATTACCTCTTCAATCTTTGTGTCTGTTCAACTTCCTATTGGCCTGACTATTTACTGCAAAGTATTTGCAATAAACAAGCATCATCAACACCTGTCAGTGCAGCACATGATTGGGATTTGTTGCTGCAGTCTGGAATTACTTTACACCAGAGACTGATAGCAGTGCAATAGCTTACTGCACTGTCTGCAGTGTAAGTGCTCGTAGGTGTGGCAGCAGCACAGTGAACTACAGTACTAATGTTAATTCCTCCTGATAAGCAGGTGGCACCTTGTATGGCAGCCTCTGGCATCAGTGTATGCCAGAGGCATTCACTGATGCGTGTGTGTGTGAATGTGTGAATGCTGGCTTGTGTTGTTAAGTGCTTTGAGTGGTTGCTAAGACTAGAAAAGCGTTATATTATGCTGTTTATGGAACAGTTACTTCAGGAAACCTCTGAAAATGTAGGAGATCTCACCGATGAAAGTCCTCAAGAGGTCTGCCGCTAAGCAGCAAACATAAGTTTTTAAGTGACTTCTAACGGCTGACCAGTTTCTACCAATAGGGGAAAAAATGTAGTTTTAACAACGAGATCCTCCTTTGCAAAGAAAACAGTGAGATGTACATCATGGTAACGGTGCTAGGTAATGCCCTCTGCCCTGGCATAAAATGTGCACAGGAAAGTTAAAAGTGGGGACACAGAGGGGAGACGTGAGGCAGAGATACTGCGTGAGGTGAAAGGGACAGGTGCATGCAAGTGTTGTGAAAACAAAGGGAAGTTATTGTAGTTTGGCTGCTGATTTGTCCTACTTACCAACATGGTCGTTGACTGGAGGATATTGCACTTTAAATCACTAAGCACCTGATTGCCACTGCATCATAATGCATCAAATCTTAACACACAGACATGATACACATGTTTTTTACCCTTTCCAATATGTCATTGTCTCCAATGTACGATTAAAAGTCCATATATCTGTTAAGAAATCATAAAAAGATGCTCCTTTTTACTTAACATCAATGGGTACATTGCAAAACAAAAACTGCAAACATCTAAGTTGGTATACTTTTAATGGTGCCCTTTAGCTAAAACAATTGGGCAGGAGCTGTAGGTCACAGCGTAAAACTTTGCAGCACAAACTGACCGATATTGTACTTTTTGTTATGCCAATCCCAACACCAATTTAAAAAGTTGATATTCCTTTTTCAACATAAAAGCAAAACCTAAACATCTTTGATGATGACCCCATCAATTTGGTTATAAAGAGCTGAGACCAACAAGTCAGCACCTTACTGGTGAACAACCATGTAATGGAAGCACTGATTTAGATTGAGCTCTAAATCACCTTTAACAAATCTTTGACATTTCTGTTTCTTTCTTCTTTTACAACAACAGAGCTTTTGGGTGGCTTTGTGAATTTGATTTAGATAAATGATCGATTTGATCTGTACATAATTATTATTGGGTGGTGAGAAAGGTGATTATGTTTTAAGGGGAACAGCTTTAGAATAGGGAAGAATCTGTCCTTTAATGGTCTGCCTCTTAATGGCACCCTGTAGCGTTTCTGACCAGTAGTAAGGCTATGGAGCAACATGTGCAATACAATGTTTTTACAAAGCAGGATTTAAGATATTTCAAACATTGGAAAACTAAATGTCATTAGGAAATACATACAGTGTTGGTCAGTGACAAGGACAGCCACAGTGTGGTTTGGTAATAAACGTGAATAAAAAGATAACTTTGTTAACAGGAAAACTAGACAGGTCACTCTCTATGATCAAGCATCAGTAGATTAAGGGCCTTCACTGACCCTGGCTGTCCTTTTTGCCTCGTGTTCAGGTATGGTGTCTGATAAGAGAGTCTTCCCCACCAAGGATAACAGCTGGGTGACTCTGGCACACAAACCCATGATTGCTGACAACAAAGAGGTGGAAAAGATCTTTAAACCTCACAAGCAGATCTGTCTGCTCAACCTGCCACCAGCAGAGAAGAAGACTGCTCCCAGGAGCAAGACTGGGAACTTTGGTACGCTGCTGCTACTGTATTTAAATATGTTGTCAATGTTAGATTTGTTAGAGATTACTCTTCACAGTACACAATGAGAATTATGCCCCAAACTACACAAATAGAACCCAAGTTGAAATGGAGATTCTGACTATCGTTGTATAATTGCCTGCAGGTCAGACCGTGCCGGGAGAACGATCCAACACTGTACTTGCCTTCAACGAGATGGACCGATCTTTGTTTCTGGAGATCTGCGGGATCCGCCCTCTGTCCCAGTGTGTCAAGACTGAGCCTCTGACTGAGAGCCTGAGACCCTGTCTGTCCATGCAGGCCATGGTGCACTCTGTGATACCCTACATCCAGAGGTTCCTGTACCACCACGACGAGCTGGCTGAAGTCTATACAGAGCTGATTGACAACAACATTGGAGAGAAAATTAAGCGACTTCACTTCGGACAGGTCAGAAGATCACATCTAGTTGGTTGAGAGCAGTTTAAAACCTGGAGGAAGTCCATTATTTGGTTGTTTTACTAAAAGCATACTGATTAGACTGAAGCCTCGTTGAGGGAGAATCTCTTACCTTAATCACACCCATCTAAAGGAAATATTTATACTGAGCCATTTTCAACATTCTCCCTTCTACATACCTGTTTACAGGTGGGTAAGCTGTACATTCGCTACCAGCTGGACCTTGCTGATAGTGAGGATGCATTGGTGGAGGTGCAGGATGTTATCTGTCTGCTGAAGGATGAGAAGGAGCTCTACATTCAGAAAGATCACCTCTCAGCCAAGCTGGACATCTGCAGGTTTGTATATGATGGATTGAGTGCCAACACTCACTTTCGTCCTTTATTTCCTCCAAAATCATCATCTTCCTATTTGTTTAACCTCCATTAAATCAGTAAATAATGACGGCAAACATGAGCCTTTTCTCACAATGCTTTAACATATTCACACCACACAGACTGGCCAAAGTCAGTATGAAGTTTTTGGTAATATCTAATATAATATTCACTGTGTGACAGATTAAAACTTGTTTTAATTCCAAAGTGGGACAGTTGTTGTGTTGTAAGTTTAATAATAGGAAACCAACGGCAGGTTTTTTAATACATCTTCAGTTCTTATCTTTAGGACTAACTAGTGGGTAACGGGATTTTTTATTGGTAGAGGATAGTGTGTGTTTGTGTTCAGTTGCAGTTCAGTTGAGTATCAAAAACTGGCTAGTACACAGAGTGTCAGGTGCTCATTACAAAATTCAAAGCATATCTATTGCCTCTCGTCGACTCTCAATGGCAACTTCTGAGCTGGTGGCTTGCAGCTAACATTGCTAAAATGTTATCAGCACTAACAGTGTAGAACACAGCAACAGTGCTAACAGCACTAACAGTGTAAAACACAGCAACAATGCTAACAGCACTAACAGTGTAAAACACAGCAACAATGCTAACAGCACTAACAGTGTAAAACACAGCAACAGTGCTATCAGCACTAACAGTGTAAAACACAGCAACAGTGCTAACAGCACTAACAGTGTAGAACACAGCAACAGTGCTAACAGCATTAACAGTGTAAAACACAGCAACAATGCTAACAGCACTAACAGTGTAGAACACAGCAACAGTGCTAACAGCACTAACAGTGTTTACCTGAGGGAACCAGAGGGTGGGTGCTACGTTTCTGTGACGACGCTGTCAGTCTAGACGGTGTCAGAGCAGTGCAGAGTGGCGGTTGTTAGCTAATCAGTGGGGCACACTCACATGCACTAACATGCACTGAAAGCATGCGCGGCCCGCCCGGCTCCGCTATGGCAACAAATCAAGGAGGGTATCTGGAGAGAGACTTCACTCTCTGCTCAGGTAGACATTACTCTACTACTCTTTACATAGACGGTAGTTGTTAGCTGCTCTATTAATATTCAGAAAGTTGTATAGAACCTTTTAAATGGTACCTGTTCTTATAACTCATATGGTCCTATCAACGAGAAATCAAACATCATAAATCATGAGCAAAGGACCTGTGATCAAATCCATTTGATGCTTACTGCTATATAGTGTGTGCATTATCTGTATGTACATAACTTATCTTGTTATAACTTGTAATCTTGTGTGTATGTGTGTGTTTCAGGGAGCTGGTGAAACTCTTCTGCACAGAGAGCAGCCACAGAAAAGAGCTGATGCATTTCCTGAGCGGCCTCATAACCTCTCTCAACGTAAGTGGTATCTGATCCTTCAAACATTGATCCACATCCAGTGATCCTGGTCTTTGCTCGCTCTCTGTCTTTCATCCCGTGACTCTCTCTGTCTTTTCAGTCACACATACACACTGACTGCTACCACCACAGAGCTGACCGTAGCTAGAACTAATAGGCATTTTCCCTGGAGGGAGTCACGTTTACATTAAATGGCAACTTGCTCTCATCTCTGTAGAGCAGTACAGCAGCCCGAACAGAGACTCTGCAAAGCTCACATCAAGCTTCAACTTTGATATCCTCTCTGTTGAATATCTTATCTTTGAGACATGCAGCAGAACTAGGCTGCATTATATAATCAATATTGAAATCTAAATAAGACAGTTTGATTAAGTTCTATGTCAGGATTTGCCAAAGTAAATAAATGGGATTTCTTATCTGTTTGATTAAAGGGTTTTAGTGATGTGATTCTGAAGCGTTTAATACACTCAGCCAGATGCAGATATGAGAGGCTTAGGAGAAATTGTGTGATCTGCCTCTCAACTTATTATGCCCGCTTATTACTTTAACTTTTATATTATTCCAGGGAATTGATCAAGTACATATTAATTAGGTCATTACCATTTAAACAAGATGAGACTCTCTGAAGAAACAAGGTTGGGAACATCTGCCACTTCCTCTGTTGGCAACAGAATCTGAAAGGAGAAACCGCAAATCTACTCAGCTCTGGTCTTCATGCATTCAGTAGTTATTTTTGTTAATCCTGACTGCATGTCAATCCTCAGTTCTGGAGTACTTCAATTCACTATCTAAATGGGAGTTTGGAAAGCATTAGAAAGTCTTTAATATAATAAACAGATCTTTTTCTTTGCTGCATAATGTCACCACAGTTATAACTCTGTGTCTGCAGGACCAAGGGTCTCTGAAGAGATTCTTAGGCAAGGAGGACATCAGAGAGCTGCCCAGTGAGGAGGAGCTGTGGGAGGTCCCAGAGCCTCCCAAACCAGAGATGAACCTGGAGAGAGGTAAAGATGGCCTATACACAAAGTTAGCACATTAGCCATCAGTGCACCTAAAGCATCTTACAAAAGAAAAAGCTAACATTGTGCCTCATAAGGAAACATGTTTCCTTCTCGTAGTCTCATTTCAAACTTTCATCTCATGCCTATGCCAATAAAGCTGATTCTGATTCTGATTAATGGAACTGAGTCCAGAGAATGAAAGAACATGAAGGAAACTGTTCTTGTACCGTAATTCACTGATCATCCTGTAATTGCCACTTGCAATAGTTACATAGTGTCTCTGAAAACCCTTGCCCAAGGCGGGTGTTATTCTTTTCTTCCATTATTAACAAATTAAATAAAAAATTAAAAAATTGTTAGTCTATACTTTCCCACTTCTCTACCCCATCGGTTTGTTTCTCCTGAAGACATACTTCTCATACGTCTCAAAAGTTTAGTAATATTTTTTTTAAAGGATCAGTCATTTCCTCAAGAAGCTAGGCACTGTAGCTTTTAGCAAACATTACTCAAGCAGGAGAAAATGGTGCATGTAGTGGGGACTATTTTATATAGCGGAGTGCTTAAAATAAAAGTGCTTAAATCACGTGTTTGATTAATACATTGATTATTGTTTTGGTGGAGCTGCACCATCCTCATTAACATTGTTAAAGTGTCCTCAATGTTTGGAAAATAGACTGGATAATACATAGTCACAGTTTGATGCAGAACATGAGTATGCACCTCTCTCATGTTAAAGCGCTGCTTTCTCTGCGTCTGTGTTTGTGACTTCTCACATCTATACTTTCTCCAATTCTCTCTGTGACTCTTGCCTCGATTTCCATTATCATTTCATACCAAGTGTTTTTCCTCTCAGTCCCTGCACACACACACACACACACACACACACAGTTTATTTTTTACCAAATATAGATATATTATATATAAAGACATAGATAACTGGTGTATGTCTTACATATGCTAATTCAGGTTTGTTCACTGTTGTGTGTGGAAACATAAAAGAGCAGCTGTTGCTGGGGCTTAAAGAGCAGATCCCTCACTGCAGCAGAGAGCGCACTCACACAAACACATACAGGGATATGATCAAAAGACATTTTCATTACAAATCTGTTTTTATGGCATAACTGCGCTGAATGAGGCGCAGTTATGATTGGTGCTTTACAACTTTGATCCAATCTTTTCTTCTTCTTCTTTGGTTTTAATTCCCTGAAAATGTTGAACTTCAGGGCTATCAAGGAGTTACTCCTCCATCAGCTCCCCAGAGGAGCCGTCTCGCCCTGCACAAGAAGATGGGGAGCAGACGCTTGTTTGCTGGCCTCCTCGAGCATCTATAATGAATACAGGACCCGGTCGCACTGGTCAGTGAGAAGGATATGGTTGTTTCTGCATGGTAACGCTTCACTGTGGAAAACTACATTTCTCATTCCCCACAACTTCTATGTTGGTCAACAGGTCAGGCAGGTAGCAGTGTGGTAGAAGCCGTAATGAAGCTGTGGCCACCTCCAGCTGGGCCTAAAGACAGAGACCCAGAAAATGATGCTGTCCCCAGAGGAAGCAGCCATGCCATCCCCAAGAGTCACAGCAGCAGCTACGAGGAAAACCAGCCACCCGGGAGCAGCAGGAGACCTGCAGACCAGTCTCACCCTGCTGCTGTGACCGCCAACACACCACCACTTTCAGGTGACACATTCAGCAAACCTCTGTCTCCTACTGCCATTCTTCATACTGGTATCCAGATACTTAGGAAATCCTGTAGTTGTAATTGTTGCAAGCATAATATTGAATTTAAAGCTGCACTAATCAATATGTTTATCAATTCTAGTTGTATTTAGAATGGATCAAATCACTGTCTTTTTTAAGAGGGCACTTGTAGGGATCAGGGGTGTGATTTTTCTGGACTAATCCAGATTTCCGCAGTGTCTGACTTGAAAACATGAAACACGTGAATCGGGTAGATCCGTTAAAAAACAACATTATTTGGCATGTAAACACACAAACTATGTCTCCCCTCCTACTATTCAGTCTTGTTTGTGATAGTGTAAAAGAAAAAACCTGGGAGAGTGATGGGCTTTTGTCAAATCAGATGTTGTTGTCGTCCACGATCTATAAAACTCTGCAGCCAATCGGATCCTTTTGATAATAAGCTCAGTACTCGCTCATAACAGACCACTGTAGTATATCACAACACTGCTCCATATATTTTCACTTTACTTCAGCTGCAGTTGTTCTCAGTGCTGATTCAAGGCTTTTAAGAAACTGCCAGGCCAATGAAGACATGTGGAAGATAGCTATCTAGTTTTAAAAAGTATGTTGCTTTTTGGACAGTTATGCCTTAATGACAGATCCACAGAGTGACGGATCCACACAGTGAAGGATCCACACAGTGATAGATCCACAGAGTGATCAATCCACAGAGTGATCGATCCACACAGTTATGGATCCACAGTGTGATGGAACTAGAGCAGGGGTCTTCAACAGGGGGTCCGCGGCCCCTAGGGGGTCCGTGGAGGTACTGCAGGGGGTCCGCGAAAATTTTTGGTTGATTAGACAATTAAAAAAAAAAAATTTAATTATTTTTTTTTTCTCTAAACATGAATGTGTCCATTATTTTAATAGTTCAGCATTGTATGCATGATAACAGGTATGTTTATGCATGGCAGTGGCACTAATAGGCCATCACTCATTTTTCGTTTCCACATTTATGTTTAAAATGAAAACATCAGTTTGAATATCTTGTATGCATGATTATCATGCAATTGACAGACAATGTTGATATTAGCATTGGTATCAGCTGACAAGGTATGTTTATAAATGGCAGTGGCACGGCCACCCTACTCACTGTGGCTTGCACATGTTTAAAATAAAAACATGAATATATGAACCTGTGTATTATTTGAATAGCTTCGTATTGAATGCACAATAAAGATGTATGTTTATACACGGTACTAGGCCCATTTAATATAAAACACAATTTTATACAATATACTGTATATAGTCGGGGGTCCCTGCTCCATCTCTCTATCAGTTTGGGGGTCCTTGGCCTGAAAAACGTTGAAGACCCCTGATCCACACAGTGATGGATCCACACAGTGATGGATCCACACAGTTATAGATCCACAGAGTGATGGATCCACACAGTGATGAATCCACAGTGTGATGGATCCACACAGTTATGGATCCACAGTGTGATGGATCCACACAGTGATGAATCCACAGTGTGATGGATCTAGAGAGTGATGGATCCACACAGTGATAGATCCACAGAGTGATAGATCCACACAGTGATAGATCCACACAGTCATGGATCCACACAGTGATGGATCCACACAGTGATGAATCCACAGTGTGATGGATCCACACAGTTATGGATCCACAGTGTGATGGATCTAGAGAGTGATGGATCCACACAGTGATGGATCCACACAGTGATGGATCCACAGAGTGATAGATCCACAGAGTGATGGATCCACACAGTGATGAATCCACAGAGTGATAGATCCACACAGTGATGGATCCACACAGTGATGGATCCACAGTGTGATGGATCCACACAGTTATGGATCCACAGTGTGATGGATCTAGAGAGTGATGGATCCACAGTGTGATGGATCTAGAGAGTGATGGATCCACACAGTGATGGATCCACAGTGTGATCAATCTAGAGAGTGATGGATCCACAGTGTGATGGAGCCACACAGTGATCGATCAAGAGAGTGATGGATCCACACAGTTATGGATCCACACAGTTATTGATCTAGAGAGTGATGGATCCACAGTGTGATGGATCCACACAGTTATGGATCCACACAGTTATTGATCTAGAGAGTGATGGATCCACAGTGTGATGGAGCCACACAGTGATGGATCCACAGTGTGATGGATCCACAGTGTGATGGATCCAGAGAGTGATGGATCCACACGGTGATGGCCATGATCACACAAGAAATCTGCACATTTTGGCTTAATTTTGTAATATTCAGAACATCCCGTGTTAAATTTTTCCTTTTGGTCTTGTCTCTGACAGAGCGCAGACAACAGAGTGAGAGCACCAAGTGTGACAGAGCTCCGAATGGAGAGGAAAGCCTCACAGCTCCCAGGCCAACACAGAGTCTTCCATCTGCACAGACTGCGGAGACACAATCCGCTCCAAACAGCCTGTAGGCTTTTTCTCCTCATCCACAAAAATCTGAAAGATTTAGAAAACTAATGTTGACTTTTACTGCTCCTCAATACATAATCCCCAATTCATCTACCTTTTCCTCTCTTTTGTCATCAGCGTCCCTGAGGCCGTGGTGCTTTCCAGTATGTTTCAGGGGGGTGCAGAGACCCAGCGTCCTCCTCTCAACCTGGACTTTCCTCCCTGGAACAAAGTGCAGCCTCCACTGGCCACACTGGAAGACATGGAGCTCACCTGCCAGAGACCCACCACAGTCAGTACATAGAAAACATGGGATGTTTTCTCAGGGGTTGATCTTTGCCAAAATTTGCTAAATTGTACTATGCTTGTGTAGGTGGTGTTATCTGACGACCCGATGGACGTGGCAGTGATTGGTGAGTGGGGGGAGCAGCTGGTCAATTCCTTCCTGTGCCACTGGAGAGACAGTGGCGACCTCGGACGACCCGCACACATCCTGTGGTGCAATCAGAGCGGAGAGAGCGGCCAGCCCTACGATTTTAAGCTCACTTTTGGACCTGCAGGAGGGCCGGTGGTAGTGTACGTGGAAGTGAAGTCAACAATAAAGAAGGAGAAGTCATTCATCCACCTCTCTGCCAACGAGCTGGACTTTGCACTGAAAGAGAAGGAGCGCTATCACATATTCAGAGTGTACAGCGCTGGAGACGCCCACAACGTCCGCCTGTGTCGCATTCAGAACCTGGCGCAGCATCTCCACACCAAAGACCTGGCACTTTATCTGTTTGTATAAGTCCCTTATACGTTTGTGGAGATATTTGCACTATACTAACTCACACCACAATGAGTTAGTATGAAACACTAAAAGTGTTTCATATATAAGTTTATTTTAACTGCACTGATTTAAGTTGTTTTAAATGTACTACTGAGTGTATCTCCCGTCACCCCTCCCCATTTATTGTTCTTGCTAATCAGAAAAAAATGACATTCCTTTTTAATTTATCTGTTCAGAATATTTTTATTGCCACACGTAGGTGTGTGTTTTCTAGTATGTGTACAATTTTAAAGTGGTCAGTGGACATACTGAATATTTCTTAACCTTTTATAATTCCCCTACCTCACCTTTACTCTAGCATTCCTTCTGAATAAAACCCTTCTGTAAGTTGAATGAATTTGACTCATGGTTGTGACACACGTCCTGTTTTTATTTCTTAAATAATCTTGCAGACGGTTCGAGTACATCATTAGTAATGAGGGATTCTGTCACCTTAACTTCACTGACGGATGAAGTGATTATAGCTTAAGTTAAATCAAGTGGAAGCGGAGCTGACTGGACAGGTCCCTCACAGGCTCCCATCATTCCTGGTAACTACTCTGTCACAGTGAAGACATACACACACATCTATTGGATGCTCACACAGAGCAACGAATCTTGAACCACTTACAAGGCTCTTCCTGATACAATTATTACTCTTGCAAGAAAAGGCCATCTGACATTGTACCCAGTTCTACACTGAACCGCAGAAAGCTCCCAAATCTGAAATAAGGTAAAAAGGCAATATGTGGAACTTTAACAATGCAGAGAAAGCAATCCAGCATCATCTTTTTTTCCGTCATACTGTGTGGGAAAAAAAATGATACTTCTTATTTGTCTGGCCCCTGGTGGTCCCTGAAACACTATTAGAGCCACAGTCTATGGATGTGCTGTTTGATGGCTTCTTACTCATGTGATGAGTGTTGGTGGAGGGATCAGAAACTGCCTCTGAGGACAGCACCTCCCTATGTTCATCCTGTGAGGCAACCTCTTGGTAACCAGAGGGCTGCTTTTTCTTAACGGGTAATAGGTTTAGGTTTTTACACAAAAAACACATCTGTATTAGATGTGGGACTATTTTTGCATTGCATAGGAGCCTCTTCTGGATTTATGAGGCATTCATGTACAGCTTGTAAACTCCATCTTCAGAGCTTTTCAGCCGTAGATATGATTTTGGATTGGAACAACAACAAAACAAAACCTTTGAGTTGAGTTGGAATATTAACACATTTGTATTTATTTTTATCAAATTTGTTGTCTCATTGAGGTTGGAAGCTCCTTTTGCAAGGGAGTCCTGGCCAAGACCGCTGCATACAAAGCTGCAGACAAAACATAATAAAATCAGATGACAGACAAAATAGATCATGATTCTAAAATGAGGTTTATAGGATTAGAGTGCAAATGGACTCTGTAATTGTCTTGAACTGCCGGAGAAGTAATTCCCCACTTTAAATGTATTTTGCAGATGACTGTTCCGTGTTGCTTAAAATAAAATGACTCATCAAGGTAAAAACTTCTATTTAGGTATTTATAATAGGCAACAACTCCTATTATCCTCCTCTAAGCTGTAACAATGTCCACTATGTCTATTGGCTCATTCCTAGCATTAGAAAAATCTGTTTATTTGCATTCAGCTATACGATGCTCTGTCATCTGCATGACTATTAGTTCCACAAACACATTACTTATTTATAGGGAATACAAGTGGCAACTCTTGAAGCCTGAACATTTAACAGGCTTCATTTCTTTGGGGGGGAAAAGGGTACGAAGAGGATGTCATATAATAACATAATGAAAAATCCCCATTTCTTCAGGTTTACCAACAATATTCTGTAGTTCACTGTCCAATTCACTGTGTAAGCATCACAACTCAGCAATTCAGAATGAATTTCCTACTTTGCCATAGAGACAAATGGTTACAAGGAATTGCAGATCCTAAGCCTTAAATGCATAGTCTGATTTTATAATTTGGAGCATTATGAGCAAACATTTATGAATTTCAAATCTGGTTTTCAGAAATCAAGTCACAATCACTGAATGTTGAACAGTTGTGGTTGATAATGGCAGGAAAAGAATGTCATATGGCCTGACAGTGAAGCATACCAACCTCTGTGAACTGCCAACCTCTGCATAGCTTTGATATTTCCGACTACCCCTGAATGCAGCATAGTCTGTACGGAGACAGCGAGCAGCGGCAGCTCCCGGCGGAGCAGCGCTGCGATTGGCCAGAGCGGAGGGGGGGGCTCACTACTGGCGCTCCTCTCCTTTGCTGTTTCCTTCTCCTCCTCTGTCCTCCCATCTTAGAGGACAGAGCGATGCGGAGACAATAGGACGCAGAGCCCGAGGAGTCTGCAGGATGATCGGCGCCACATCCACCGTCACACGGCTGCAAAGAGGCTTCTCGCAGGACACCGAGATCAGGCGTTTCTCCCGGCTCACCTGGCCTTAGTATGCGCTTAGATCATCTCGCCCAGGTATATAACCCAGCAGCCTCGGTCGACAGGGCGGACTCCACGGCCTCCATATGGAAACCAATTGAAGGGTGAGTAGCGGAATAAAGCCGGATTGACACTTCATCTATGCTCACCTGCACCCTGACTAACCGGCATCTGACTCACAAAATGATAGTCTACAGCAGATACTGTAATAACTGGGATATATAACACCGTGTGTTCTTGTATTTAGTGCATGGTGGATTAGGCCTATTATGTGCAGCAGCATACAGTGAACACAATGCTGTGGTCCTTGATGGTGGGTGTTGTGTTCTCCCATTGATCTCCAGCAAACAACAAAACGCTGTAATTGAGATTGTTCACAATATTCCTATAAAGTGGCATTTATGTTATTGATCACAACACAGCCTCACCCACCTATACATGCGTCCTGTGTATTGGGGGACAAGACAGTTATCTGCAGCAGCTTGTGTGCGTGCGTGCGTTTTGTGTTTGTTTGCCTGTCACTCAGCTCTAAAGGAAGTTATACTAAGTGACAGTGATTTTTCTCAGAGTCAGTGCAGTCTGAGGACAGACTGTAGGTGGGAAGTGAACCAACATGACGCAGCCCGACAGAACGCTGAAGCTGAGGATGTCTGGAGAAAGAATCATATTGTTTACATCCTCACTGCCTCTGTCCACATGCTGGTGTCAGTGCTCGCTGGGCCAAAGCACAGTGCCTTCCTAATGACAATTAAAGGTTGAGACAAAGTGTTTGCAACCAGTAAGTTACATTATAATCACCCAGAAAACATACTACTAATGAAATTCTCACATAATGTATGAGTGAACCACCTTGTAATTAATTCCTCTTTTACGGTAATCCTCTATTGCTTTATGTTTTCTGAGCCACTGTGGGAGGATGTCTGGGTGTGTGTGTGTGTGTGTGTGTGTGTGTGTGTGTGTGTGTGTGTGTG